CCTTCAGTGCCTAAATCAATTCCAGTCATTAACTAATATTCTCCAAGGTCTGTTAAAGAAAGAATGAGCTCATGTGAATAACAAGGAAGTCTATAACTTTTGAGATTGTAAAGCCACAGACTGCCTGCTTTGGAGTGAAAAATTGCTATCATAAGCAGTGTGCCATACCAATTTCTTGCCAGTAATTTAATTAATATCATAACAATGCAGTAACTAAAACTGTAGCTATAAATTTTGCATTTGTGAACTTCATTTTTAGACATGAATAGGAACTTGTTGTGTAAAAGGCAGCAAGCTTGAAAAGGCTGAATTTACTCTAGCCATGTGAATTACAACAGAGGAATGTGTGAATTGTTGACCTATTGCAGGATCTCCTATTATTTTCCACAAGATTGCTCAGTAAATTGTATTACTTAGGCTGTTGATTACACAGCAGTGACCTGAACTGGGGAGTGTGGTAGAACAGTGAATCACAGCTTTGCACAAGATTTACCTGACCACAATCTTTAAGAAAAAAAGTGCTGCTGCATCATAGTGCTTTAGAAAAGATAGGGGACTGTCTTAGTGCTGACAAGTGTTGGTCCTAACCTAACGTTTCTACTCTTTCTTTGGCAATATCTAGACAACTAAATTTTACTTTCAAAATATGTCTGTATGTTAAAGTTGCAATATTCCCAGGCACAAAATGAGCCATTCTGAGCTTAGAGAGATTCTGATGTGATTCCAGCTACTGCCTAGTAACACAGTAGTTTGAATCTATAGGCATTTGTTATAGGGAAAAAAAGATACTGTGAAGTTTGATTACTTAGTACATTGCATTTCATTAATGAAGGTTGAGTTGCATGTTTAGAATGTGAAGTGAGCTTCTTCTCCCAAACGCTTAACCGCAAAAGAAGTTTTTAAAAAAGAGGGGTTGAGATACCATGCATTTCAGAAGTGTGAAACATCCATGTGACAGAGAAAAATATTTTAGGAGAACAGTATCCCTGTTTTCTAAGCAACGAGTAAAGTCCTTAGTGGACTGTACTTACCAGGAAACAGAAAAATAAATAAATTGCTAGTACTGTGAACTGTTTTGGAAAATTGGAAGTCCAATATAGATGATGAATCACCAAATAATGTTGTTCTGGCAGGTCCTATAAACAGTTGCTTACATGTAAGTCAAGATGTGTAACTCTCTGTACAGGTTTTGTAAACTAGGCTACCTCTCTTTGCTTTGAATTACTGGGGCTTATCACCACTGATTGCTGAGACACATAAAAACTTGTGCAGCTGGCTCCTGTTGACTGCCATTACTACAATAGCTATTCAAAAAGTAGATAAAGTCTCTGAGAATAATTCATAGGCATTATAGTAGTTTCCGTGGCACTATGTCATTTTATAGAACGTCCTCTTCACACTCTGGGATCTGGCCATTTTCCTATTTTTCATGACAATGACTAAAATGTCAGCGTTATTGAATCAGGATAATAGACATGTAGAAAGGTACTGGCAGCAGCTTGTGTCAAGCACTCATTTGCTTTACAGAGCAGTTCTAGCTGCTTCCTTTAAAGACTGGAAGAACTTCTGCCTTAAATTGGGTAGTCAATAATAATTCTCCAAAGCAGAAGTTCTTGAAATGACTAAAATGCTGGATGACATCTTTTAAGAGTATTCATATACTTCTCCTTTGATGCTCTGAAACTGATATTCAGCTAGGGAGCAATCAAATTTGTTGGCAAAATTCTAGAGGCAGAACTCCAGATACTGTGCTCTCATAAGAGCTGTAGTTGTACAAAATGAATTCTACCTTTTTTATTCATGACTTCAAAAAAAAATAAAAATTGAGTGGTCAGTGTGGATTTGTGCAGTGACATCGAACATTGAAGCAACAAGCTAGTGAGATAGGCAGTCAATTTTTATCAGCTCTCCGGGAACTGCTACTTTCACTTTTGAGATTTGTCAAATATTTTAAGGTATAGAGTAGATTAACAACTGTGTATGATCTTAATCATCTTGAATGTTTTTTTTCTAAATCCTAAACTCCCTGTGTTTAATATCCATTTATTCCGAAAACAGTATGCTCCAATAAATATTGTCATTTTACATTGCAGTTCACATAAAAAAAAAAAAAACTAATTACTAAAACTACCATTTTATCAAGTGATATATCATGCATTAAAATTTTAAATTGTTTTCAAATGAGTGTTCAAAATAAATATCTAATTTTGTGTCAGTATATTATATCTTCAGATGGAATCAATAATTCAATGGGCACAGATTCTTCAATCACTGAAGCATAAACAGAACTTTAACACAGGAGTAACAACACCTCTACTTAGTGAAGTGTTTAGTCATCTGCAAAAATACTAACTTCAACGGTGTTCATACATGCATTTAAACTTACGTGCACTCATGATTGTGGATCAGACTATGTGTGTAAATACCTAAATATTCTGAGAATTTTGGACCTACATGTCTCATCTGAGCCACTAAATGTTCTCAGTGGCACCCTGCATCTCCACAAAGTACGGTCTTAGAAACAAAGCAGATTTGCCTTATAGTTGTCAGTTCAATTGTTGATAGAGCTAGAAATTGCCTTAACAAATGTGTGATGTCTAAGACAGTCTGAAATACCAACTACATGGTTACTAGGGATTAGGCTGAACAGTATCCTTCCTCAGGTAACCAAATTACCCTGAGGGTTTTTTTGGACTGAAGCTGGAAATTACAATAGAATTGCAAATGTGCCAAGAATTTTTGGGTGGTCTGGCATAGAGCCCTAATTCTCTGATGGTAAACTGTAAATACCTTCCTTTCCTTTTCCTCCCTTCCTCCCATCCTCTGGCTTTTATGAGTTGATAAGTAGTGAACTTCCATTTATTGCTCTTCCCATGGTCCAATCTATTTTTATTTCAGCTTGTAACTTATGCAGCTCGGATGGGGATTTTGTAGTCAGCTCTAAGCTCCTGAAATTAGGAGGTTTATTGGCAGTGTTCTTACAAACATAAAATTTGGTCCTGTTGCTTATGGAATGAACTACAATTTCCATTGTAGACATAGGGGTTTGGGGCCTGCAAAGTGCCAAAGATCCTGCAGGGGCCTCAGTGGTGGGGACCTCTCAAAGCTAAACTGTGTCCCACATGGGTTTTCTGAAACAGTACGGAGAAAGGACTATGAAAATAACTGGGGTAGCCCTTGTGTGATCATGACTCCTTTTTCAGCAAAAGAAGGATATAGGGGTCACAGCTGAAAAATAAATATGGGAAATATTTTGGTCAGCCACCAGAATAACTAAAACTTCACTGAAATGACTACAGAATGTGTTAAATACATGTGCTTTTCATGTAAAGAGTCTCCAAGTCTGGGCTAGGAGCTATGGTGTAGTTTAGTGCATTAGCCCTATGTATTGTTTATATTCTCTTTAGATATCATCTTGCTTTCTTGCTAAGTAACCCAATATCCTTGTATGGTGCTTTTTGAGAGAAAAAATACTCTCTGTAGTGTTTTTTGTTTAGATTTTTGTCACAAAGAGTACATGCAAAACAGGAAAGTTTTAATAATAACTCTTGACCTGTGAGCATCGTAGGTCTGGGGGGGTGGGGGCGGGGGAAGAGAGAGAGAGAGAGAGAGAGAGAGAGGGACTGTGATATTCAAGGCTAATGTAAAGCTTTCAGGTGTTTTTTTTTGTGTGTGTGTCTTTTTTCTTATTACAGGAATTTTTACATATACACTCTAAAGATTGTTCTGATGCCACACTTACACATTAAATCACCATAATCATCAGTTATATATAATGCTTACCAAATAGCTTCAGAGAGTGTCCATAATGACCTTGTTTCTACAGTTCCTAGCATTTTCATGAAAGAATTGGAAGTAATTGCAAAATCATTGCCAATAAAATTTGTGGATGACAAAGACTGAGAGAATAATAAACATTAAGGAGGACAGGTAAATCATACAGAGTAACTGGAATTGCTTAGTAAATTAGACCTGTTGAAATAAAATACACCACCACTGTAAAGGTAGAACATGTTCCACATCTGAAATGGAGATCTGCAACTGTGATTTATTTCACCAAGCCTCAGACAGCTGCAGTGTAAACATCAGCATCTGAGCTAGTTACTCTAGCCTTCTTTTATGGATAAAATGGGGGAAAAAAGGACACTCTTTGACTGCTATTCATCTGATGTATTTTAGAAGTTTGTTTTAGAATAATACAGCTTTCACCCTGAGAGTGCCTCTAAATTGAAGGCTAGTCCAAATGTGTGCATTTGGTCTGATGAATCTCAGTACAGATATCTGAACAGAAATGAAAAATGTTGTGTTTTTCTCTGGCAAAGAAGGCTAATGTGATCATTGAGTCTACAAGCATGGGAGTCAATAGGAGGAGGGATGTGATTTTACTGCCTCTGTAACATAAAAAATACAGATGCAGTAGTCTTCAAAAATGCTGTCTAAAAATAAATCACAGAAACAAACAGAAGTGGGTTGCAATGAATAAGAGTGGAGTCTGAGTCTGAAAGTAATGCATTTTTTTAATGTGTGCAGAACTGTGAGTCTGACATATTGGACTTGCAAGTAGAAGAGGCAGAGAACTCTTTCCTCCTCTCTAACCTTATGCTTTAAAACTTTATTAACTTCAAGGTGTTTATGGGATAAATTTGTCTGAGTCCCATTTAATTTTGTTAGATTAAACTGGATTTGTTTATCTTAATTTTCTCTTTATTAAAAGCATTCTATTGCAATAAATTTCCCATGGTTTTTTGATGCCTTATTTTAAGTTTCCAAGGAAACACTATAATGTTGTAGCTAAGTTAGATAATGTTAAAGAAATTATATTCATGCAACTATCTGAAGGTACTTGTTTTTTTCCACTGATTGTACACAGGGTTTAGAGAAACTCTCATCTTGATTTGATTGCCTAAGTAGTGTGCTTAAACATAAATGGTGTGAATGACTTAAATATTCCAGTACAATTTAGAGTATTACTAGCCTGTGCATTTCTTTTGGCATTCCAGACACCAGAGTCAGTAATCCGTGAAGATAAGTGCTATATGAACAGCCGATATCAATTACATGAGGTAATGCAGTCTGTCTCACAGTGTACTGCACAACTGCAATATGGCATGCATGTGATGTGTCTTGTTTACTTTCAGAATTCAAAAATAAGAAGTACAAATTGAGTTTGTTCAGAGGCAGGGTTCACCCCCTCCCTGTAGCTTTACACGGAACGTAACACTGCTTTTCTTCTGCAGACAGATTAGCCTTGGAATCGCAATTGTCACCCTCTTCATAGCTGTATGGCAGAGCTGAGCTGTATGCTCAGCTTTTGGGGAGGACAACCTTGTGCTGGCTGGATGGGATAGCTGAACTGGTATTTGTGGAGCTGGCGTTATTATTTTTCATGGGGCAGGGCAGGGGAAAGTTTCAATCTTTAGAAGTCACAGGTGAATCTTGGTCACAACAGTCCATTAGTCCAGGGCTCTGTGCACTGCCCATTTCTTATACACACAGTTCAGAACATAGTCATTTTCAAGTCTGAAAGTGAGGGAAATTGTAAACCAAAGCTTTAGGACTCAATAAACCACAGCCTTTGTGAGATCTGCAACAGGATCTGCAATATCATCTCAGTTAATGCTCTGCTCTGGCCACCATGTGTAAAATAGTGTGTTACTGGGTTACTAGAAGCACACTTTCAGTGATTGCTGCAGAATTAAATAGAATTAGAAATAGAAAATTGTTATTTATGCTTTCAGAGCATTATGTATTAGAGATCTATTTTGAAATGTCATGCCATTTTTTAAATGTCTGAACTCTTCTGGCAACTTCTTCAAGCTTCAATAATCTACCTAAGAAAAACTTTTAATTTGAACCCACTGAGTTGGTCAAAATTGTTCTTCCAGGTGCACATCTGAACTTGCCACTGAAATTTTTAGAAATTAAGCAAATCATAAAGTTGTGGTCAGCACTTTATTGTGAAATGTTCACATATTTCAGGTATCCATAGCTCTTAAGCTGTTAAAACATTAAATTCCACAACACTTCCTTTTCAAATATATTTTTAAAACTTCCACAAAAAGAGAGCAGGAACAGAATTACATGGTGCTGCCTCACAGGATTATCATTATATAGTCATAGATTTTGTGGCCAGAAGGAACCATTGTCATCATTTAGTGTGATTTTTGTCTTGCAAAAGTATACCCAAATATATTTCATATTAAATCCATAATTTTTGTTTAAACTATAGTTATAGGCTTTTACTATTGTAAAACTGACATTCCTTAGTGTTTACATTGCACATGTGTATTTCATTTGTGTGTTTAGAAGAGAAGATACTGGCCATGGAAGACTTTAGACCTTGTTTTTCTCTCAGGGCAACCTAGCACTCTGTATCCCTTACATAGTTTTGCTCATTTCTACCTCTATGGGACTAGACAACTGAACACCAGATGTCCCTGGACCTACTTCTTCTAGAGAAAGGATGGGAAGGAGAAAGAGAGATGTAGGAGTTACCTATTGTGTGGAGTTCCTGTCCCCACTTCTCCCTTACAGACAGAAGCAGGGAGAGTTTGACGGTTTCTCTCCGTGGCAAATTTCTGGTTTGTTTCTCTACCTCTATCTGTGACAAGGAGAAAGAAGAACCTTGTAGAGAGGAGATAAAATCCATTTTCTATTTCTATGCTGTAGCCTAAGTATGAAAGGAGGACTAGCTCTTAATCAACCCTTTCATTGTAAAGAGACTCTGATGAGCACCTCTGAAGAGCAATGGTGGGGCTGCAGGAGCACATTTGTGCAGAAGAGACAATAATGTCTCTTACGAAAAATATGGAAGCAAAGGAATAGGAGGGAATGGAAGAGGTGATAAATTTTCAAATGCTTATTTCTGTGGTGACTGATGTATCTAACTGCTTCAGGAGAATCATAAATCTTCCTATCAATTAATGCCATAACTGTAGAACTCTTAAAGTTTGATCACCATGTCAATAGGTTATATTCTTCATCAGATATCCTGTAGTTTTCTTATTCCACTCTCTTTTGTTGTTATTGTTTCATTTTTGTAAGTGTCACTAATGGAACCTAAATTGTGGAAAACTGTAGTATTTAAAGCAAGTATTGACATTTAGTGATGTCTTGTGTATCACAGACTATTTTTATGAGCATATACAGAACATGCTGGACAAAGCTGCTCGTGTGCTTTCTCAGGCTCCTGAAATACATATCATAATGAGTATCTACAAATTTAAAAGTCAAGAGGATAATTGGATAAGAAAGGTGGATACAGTCTGAAAGAAAAATAACAACCAATGTTATTTTCATCTAGAAGGTGTAGAAATTATGATATTCAAGCAAATAATTATATATTAATATTTTTCTTGAATTCTTTATGCAATTAAACCATTGCCACATTTAAGAAAGGAAAAAATGGTACTTTACAGTAGTAGAATTTTCCTTTACAGAATGTAAATTTTGTCTGCCCATTCTGAAAAGTTAAGGAGGTTTTAAGGGTGGAATTTTGTCTGGTCAAATTTTGTAGGTGAGTTTTGTGTTTTATGCACCCTAACTAAATTCAAGAAGATGTGAATGCACACAGCACCCTCCTTTTGGTAGGTGTCAGATGGGAAGAGTTGAGGTTATAGCTTATTTTACTAGAAGAACCAAATATCATTGGAAATTGGTTTGTCTAAAGGATTTAGAAGCACTGGTCTATGCAGTCTGGGATAGTTAGTCCAAGGGATAGGTAATTAATGGAGATTTTCAGAAAGCTTCAGTATTAAGATGACAAATCCCCAGCTGTGTTTCATCAGGAAAGCTGTAGAAGCACCTGCTGCAGTACTGGAAGAATGAAGAGATGGAATTGAAATGTTACTATTGCATTTTAACTCACCTTTTAATAGACAAATTTCCCCAGCAAATGCTTGGAGGAAGTGGGAAACAGGTGCTGGAATCATCTTCTGTCTGCAATAATTTGCTCAGAATAAGGCACAACATCAATTTTGTCTTTCTGTGTGCCTTAGATTGTAGTATCACATCCTGTGATACTTCTGCCTCCAATAGATTGTACCTATGTTATTAAGAGTATCATGGGGTTATGCTCTTGCTGTAGAAAAGCGTGTATTGCAGCTGTCTTTTCTGCTCTCCCCGTGAGCCTTCAACACTTCTACTCTCAGTTTTCTCCAGCACACCTCAGCGTGTGAAATGAATTGTAAAGCATGCCAGCTAAAGTCATCATAAGTTTGTTATGCATTTTTGTGACTAGATTATTAATAAGTCTAACTATTTTTTTTAGTCTAAGACACAAATATTTTGTTGTTTTGTAGAACAAATTCTTCAGTTTAGTGTTGATGTTAGAAATAAAGAAATTAATTAGGCACAGCATTGCTAACTCTTTCCTCTTATTCAGAAGCCTCTTTCTTTTCTTCAGCTAGGGTCTCCTTTTCTACAGATGACAAAAACTTGTCTTCCTTTATTGTTGGCAGCTCTGCACACCTGGAGGTTTGACTGGGAACATGTTCTGAAAAGAGGTGCTTTCAATGGGTGTTGCTCTGTGGAAAGCTAAATCTCACATAGCTGTTACTGCCATGCTCTTAGACTAAATTAAACAGTTTGGCATAAATATTAATCACTTCAATTATTTCCATAATTCCAACTACAAGGCAGCTTTGTATTTTCAGCTGGCTTAGTCATACCACGTGTCCGTGACTTTCAAAGCATTGTCCAAAGGAGAGAAACAAGTTACTTGGATAAAGCTTATTAGGCTGGGAGGCAGAAGTGTTCTCAGCGACAAGCCTTCCTGGTGGTTTTGCAGCCCCTGCTTGGCTGCCTGTTTTGGAGCAGCCACTGCACCTTGAACAAGAATGCCTGGGAGAGGACAGGACCTCTCTAGTATTTGAAAACCTGATGGAGAACAGTGTAAAAGGGTGAGCTGACCAGGCCTTTGTTCTTATGTAAGGCAATTCCCAAAATGCCTCATTTTGAAAACACAGAAAAAATATCATTGAAACCTAGGACTGAAATCATTCCTAGAGCTGGGCATGATGCCCAGCTCCTTCCATCCTTAAGTCTCTTACAGAAGGGATAAAGACCATGAATCCAGAGAGGGTTTTGAGGTTATTTGTCTAACTGACACTCCCTATCCTTTACCTAGATATGAAGCCAGTGATGACTGAACCCTATGCACTAGTGTAAAGGTTAGAGGAAACCCCAAACTTGGACTGCTTGGTATTGTTAATGAAATTCTAGAAGACAATGAAAAGCAACTCAACAGAGTTATGTGAATGAACACTGTAACCTGATTTCATCCATCAGTCCCACTGTGAGCAAAAGTCCTAATGGTGCTTCACATCAATCATTGGCTTGTAACTTGTTGCTTAGGTTTTTTTCTTTCAATTACAAATCAGTCCCAATTTCCCTGTTTCTGAGTTTTTAGTTGTAAGGCTTACTGTGTGCTACAAAAAGACCGAGAATTGTATTTTGGCTTAAAAGAATTTTTCTTTTTCACAAAGCTCCTTAAACCTAAAATTTCACAGAAGTCATTATTCATATCTAACAGGCCAGATTTCTCTTTCAGATCTATCAGCGAGCAACACTTGATCTACAAAGGTGTTTTAGAATTGGATTGTTACAGGTTAGCAGCCTGAGTTCAAAAATTGATGTACTCCCACAAAAACTGGGAGAGGTTATGCTGAAGGTAACAGATTTGGTTTAAGTCTCTTCCAAAGCTGTAAGAGGGCTGGGTATGTCCATTAATTGTGCTGATAAAAAGTTTACAATATAAGCTTGTTTCTCCTGACATTCACCTTTTGTCTTTTGGTGGTAAATTCAGCTATGCACAAAATTATTTCCAGGTGAACTTTTTGATTGGAGAACTAATTGTGTGGGAAGTGCATGCACCAAATGCAGTGGGTTCAGGTTGCCCTCCTTGTAATCTGTATCTTACAGATAAGTGGGGCAGCTGATACCAATCTTGATTTAATCATCCCAGGAATGCACAGAGGTTTGCTGTTTCATGGAGCAGATGGAAAGACAAAACTGCAAATTAAAAGTGAAAGTTAGTGCTGATTCTCACTGTAAATATTTCCTGATTTGAATTTATGGTAAATAAGGAGCAGTAGAGTAAAAAAATTATGCTGTTCTAGACAGATAGAGCTTGCAAGCTTTTTAATAGAGGTAGTGCTGTGATATACACAGTGAGCATCTGTTGGCTACAGAGTGGTTGGTTAGATTCAAACACACTTCCTCTATTAATCTCCAGGCCTCCATCCCTGCTGAAGGGATCTTTGAGAACTGTATTTAAAATATTTCTGAAAGAATTTGCACTTACAACAGTCTTTTGAGAGTAGCAGAGCCTTTGTAAGGAGGGAGAGATAATGAACTGCAGTGTCTTAAAGGCCAGATTTTTAAAGGTACTTAAGCGCTTACAGCAATGGAAATTGAATATCTAGATGCTTTTGGAAGTCCCTCAAGATGCTTAGCTGTGTCTGTAGATGCTTTAATAAATTTGTTCCAAGTGGTTTGCCTAAGGTGCAGTTAGTCCCTGCTAGAGAGCTGGAAAGAGAAACTATTTCCCTTACTGCTGTAACCATTAATCATTTTTGCCTTCTTTATTATGACAAAGTGATAGGACAATATAACTGTTGTAATAGGGAAGAAATAACAATGAATTATAAAATAAAACTAAAGCTCAGCTTTTTCTGAGTAGCAGACGTTTCCTGTAAGCTCATGCTTACAACTGTAATGAGTGAAGGTAGGTTCCTTCTGCTTGTAAAGTCTCTCTAATCAGCACAAAATTATATGTGAAACCCTTTCTACATTGCAGTTAAGGGTCTGTGAAATATTAGGTAGCAGTTCTTTGAGAGAATTTGATCTTATGCATGCATTTTTGATAGTAAAATTCACATGCCACTGGTTATCTTTTCCAAATGATCATAGTTCTTGTTATAAAATCTACTATCTGGTTGGAGTATTTAATATTTCCATGTCTGTGTTCATTTTCCTTGATATCTTCTCATTTATTTTCAGATACAGGATGAATATGAACATCAAGTGAAATTAATTTTTGTGCATTCTCAAAAAATAGTGATAAAATCCCCACAACTTGCTTCTGTCAATGTGATCTTTTAAGATAGTTTTTCTTCATTACTGCATACTCTGTTTTACTGTCTTTCTAATCAAATGCTTTTGTTCCCTTTAACCAGGATGCTGAGAAATTGGCAGGTGAAGAGAGTGCCTGGAAAGAAGTCAAAGATGCTGTAAATGAAGTGAGATATCCGAAATCAAAAGAAGGTATCCTTTCAGTGACAGACAACAGACTGTCATTCAGCAGTGAGCAGAATCCAGAGAGCCCTTTAGTAAAGCAGTTCATCTTTTGAGATTTATTTCCTAAAAGTTTCCATTCTTGTGTTGTTTTAAAAATAATTTTAATTTGTTGTTTGGATTTGATGATCTTAGAGGAGGTCTTTTCAAACCTACATGATTCTATGATTCTATTTGATGTGAGTACATTTAAAATGTAATATTTTGTGATATTAGAGCCTCTGATTACTTGGACTGAAACTGCTTCATGATAAGGCATAGCAGGTACCTGGGATGAAGAAGCAATATTTTGGCTCAGGTTTAGACTTCTGGCATCACAGTCTACTACTTCATATAAACCCATTTCGAAATGAAGTAAAGCTCAAGCTGAAATGCTGTTAAATTCTTTGTCCCATTAGTTCCTTTGTGAACAATCTAGGTTCTCACTCCTTGCACAGCATTGACAATAACTAGGGCATAATTACAGTCAGGGTAACTGCAAGCGTTATGGAATCATTGTAAGTTATAATAGTATATAACAATAATTGATAATTAAGCAAATTGAATGGGATGATCTTCACTAATAAACAGGAATGGAGCTTAATGGCCATCACGTAGACATTCCATCCAATTAAAACACTAGCAAACATCAACGACCAAAAAAAAAGACAAGTATAAGAGAAGTGGAGATTTTTACTATAAGAGCATGGCCACATTGATCCATCTCATCTTCATCTGTTCGGTGATATTTCACTGACCATGAATTCCATCATATTGTAGCAAGATGCCTTACTGTTTTCCAAAACCTAGGATACCTACTGTATCTGGAGTGAGAGAGAATGAAGTCTTCCAGTATTTCAGTTCTTCCAGCTCCTTTTCAGCAGCATAAAAAAACAAGTTTGCATAATGATATTCCAGACTGGAAACCTATCATCACATTTTTTTCTGTAACAAAAATAATAATAATTTAAAAAAATGTTACTTTCTAACCCAGACAGATTCACTTTGTTAGCACAAGGACTGTTGTTAAGGGAAATACTTACCTAACTTTAACACTCATACAGTTTGTAGTCTGGTTTAAAGTCCTTTGTAGTCACTAGCTTGAAACGGGCAATACTGAATCTTCAGGCATTCAGCTGTAGCTCAGGGCCCGTGTTTTAACCTGAATATTAGGTTGTAAATATGCAATATACAGCTGCAATCATGTTGGTACCAAACGTATGGAGCCAAAATACTCATGCAATTTAATGTCCCTATATTTAAATGCAGGAGAAATTGCACCTACTGACTTTTGCTAGGATTTTTAATTAAGTTTGCTAATTCACTGATATTTAAAAATGAATCAAATGTACTGTAGTAGAAGGTATTGGGACTGGTTGAAGAAAATGTCACTGCTGTCTGTTCAGCTTCTGTTCTCAGATTTGGGCACAGATTTGAAATGGGAAATCTTTTCCTTCCATTGCAGCACAGTGCTGTACCAGAGCTAATTGTCATGAATTGGTGAATGCAGTACCTGAGGAGGGGGCTTGACATTTGTCCATTTGCCAAGAATGAATATAAACCTTCCTTGCTGATTGAGGCACACAGTCATTAGTTTCTGCAACTGTATTTTTATAGCAAATTAAATGAATAGTGTCCACAGTTCAGCAAGTTAGTGACTCCCAAAATCTGATCTACTGACTATAACTGATACAGTGCTGTAATGCTAAATCTGCAGTTAAGAGAACTTGAAACATGCGTGTGCAGACTGTTGCAGAACCAAATTCTAGTTTAAGCATTAAAATTGAGATGCTAAAGCCAAGTCTGAGGGGATTATTGTGTGCAACACAACAGCAGCAGAGATGCTTGGGACTAGATGTAGGACAGCCAGCTTCACTTTTGTCGTGTTGCAGCTGATAGTTTTCTAGTTTGCAGTTTATGTACATGAAAATTTGGTCCCAACTGGTTTTGCTATTAGATGCTAGTGAATGAACAAAGTAACGTAATATAAATAAAAGCAGAGTACTACTATGCCTCAGCTAAAATGGTAATCTTTAGTGCTGTCACTGGTGGTTTATACTTACTACAAAAATTGTATCAGGTGGAAATGCTATCCATCATTCTTCTGTTTGTCTGTCCTTAATCAGTTTTAAAGAATACATGGATGTTTGCCAGAGATATAGAGGTTAAGGTGCAATTTTATAATAACACATTCTTTCCCTTGTATGGTTCTTTCAATCCAAGGGCATGAGAGCAGTTCACAAATAATTAGTTTAGCCTTTTAACAACCATGCTATAAATTCTGGCCCAGCCACAGAGTGGTCACATTCTTAAATTTAAGTATGTAAATATTCCAGTGTTCAGGAAGGACTAATTACTTCATTACAGGGTTATCATTGCACACTTAAATCCATTGCTGCATTGGGGTGAATAACATTTTCAGTAATGTCATGAAGATAATTGCTGAACGTCCTTGAGTTGATTGTATAGAAAGACCATGAGAGAAGCAGTGTTATTACTTCTCTTACTATAATTCTTCTGTTGCTTGCTTGATTTGTTCTTACTGGTGTGTATGGTAACATTTTAGTGTTTAAACTGCTTGGTTAAACTGTTTAAACTGATTACCTATTTAAATCTGGAAATATTAGTGTTCATCTTAGCTGTGGTCAGCGAGAGGAGAAGCTGCTCCATAGAGAGGCTAAACCAGTTTAACATACAATGAAAATACGTGGTTTGTGATCAGGAACATCCAACTGAAGTGAATGCAAGCCCCAGATTACTCTCTGCCAAATAAAAACAAACAAACCAACAAAAAAAACTCTTATAGTGTTGGATGTAAAAATTGTCTTTACTGCCAAGATCCTTTAACCTGAACAACAGTCAGACATCAGAACTGTGACGCTTTTCTTTCATATGCATGAAGCTTGCATCAATACATGGAGAAAAAAAAAAACGAAACACAACATCAAAAAAAGAAACCACAGTGCTCTTTACAACTATTTCAAGGAGAAAGAAACTTAATTAATTGCAAGAAAGGTTCTAATTTATGAGAATTAAAAAAAATAATCTTGGGCAGCTTGTACGTATGTGTCATTATTTTAGTACATAGAAAAAAAAAATCTTTTTTTGGCTGCTGAAACCTTTTGAAAAGACACATTTCCATGGGTTCTTGCTGTTGGGCATAAGATTTTAAGGAGTATCTTAAGTAAATAATAATTTTTCAGCAGCTAAAAAATGTAACATTTTTAGTTTGATAGATATTAAAATATCCTTTAATTTTGTCTTTTTTCTTTTACCTCTTATTGCTGAAATACTGCCGCCTTTAGCAGTTCTGCTAAGTATAAACAAAGCATAGTTACCTAAGCTTGCCACTTATGAGTTCAAGTATGTTTTCAAGAACTGAAGCTGTCTGGAGTGATGGCAGCTTTTTTAATCTTAATGCTCTGTAGCTCCCAGTCCTTCCCAACAACATTTAGGACTTGTATTTTTGTTTGGTTAAAGATATTTCTTTAACTGAGGCCAATAACAGAGTGGGAGCAGGTTCTGGCAAGATGTCAGAGTCTCTTGAGCGGTGACACGGGTCGTCTTCCAGACACAAATATCTACAAGCTCAAAATGCTCGACTGTGCCATGGATGCCTGCATCAACCTTGAAGCCTGGGAACAAGCTTTGTGTTATGGCAACAGGACTCTAGGACCATACAGGTAAGAAATGCAGTGGGTTCAACTGTTTTCAAAGACTGGCCTGTGGGTCAAGGGGTGTCTAATTGCATGCAGAGTGTTTTGTCTAGATGCTGCTTAGCAGTTTTTATTTCTTGCTGTAAATCTTGCCTTGCTTTCCAGATTAATGAATGAGGGAGAAGTCCTATTCTGCTTGCATAGTAAGGCTGAGAGCAAATAACATGATAATAGGAACTGTGATAACTGATTGTCAGCTGCTTAGATGTACTCAGATGCTGCTCTACAACTCTGACCAGAAGCTGACTTTCTGGTTCAGACTGCGTTGCAATGAGGGTATCAGTATATTTATGCTGAACTGTGTTAAGTTTGAGGGACAGTGCTGGTTGACATAACATATATTCTCAGTATACTGAGTACATGGAGTTCACAGAATTATTATTTTATTTATTTTTATTTATTTATTTTTTTATCTTGTGAAATGAAGTTTCAGGTCAAAGTGAAAAAGCCACTATTCCCTATTTTGGTAACACCAAGGGGCTAAGGTGGTAAAGCATTTATTCTCTCCTTGTCAGTACTTGATCCTATGGTACATGCTGGAAGAGTTTCTGAGTCTGATATCCTTTCTTTGGTACGTAAGGATGCTCTAGAAGATCCCACGTCATGTGATAGGTCTTGAAATTGATTGGAGGCTGGATCTGTCATGTAACTTTGGTCATTTACTGGAGATAGGGTGGCTGTTGCATGCTTTGGTTTGCTCTGTTTTAAAAGCTCTGTGTTGCAAGTCTTTGGGTTCTGGATATTTGATTTGTGACTAAACGTAAACCTGTGCTGAATCTCTGGATATAATGTCATTCACGCATGAATGTTTGTTCTTGCGAAGCTATTTGTCAGAGTATCCATTTCTTCTCTTAGGTTTTGCTACACCATTTAGAACAATGTGTGCTGCTGTGAATATCAACATTTCAGATTTTACATATTTTCCCTAATCAAACCAGGCTGCCATCAGCATGCATTATTTTGCCTGAGGAAATTTCATCTGGCAGCCTGTTTCTGAATGAAACTCTGGGCAGTAGTTGAGGAACAGCACATTGTTTCAGAGCTTTCACCGTAATGTAATTAGTAAGAAATCTGCATGTGCTCTGCTCCACCAGTGCTGCAAGAAGCTGTATGCTCATAGCCACTATTACTTCACATACACAAGGGCATGAGTGCCTACAAATTCTCACATTTCTTCAGGGTGAAATTCACATCATGCGTGTCCCACTTAACCTTTTAAACAGGGCTAATGTAGCACTGCAGCAGTACATGCTTCCTGCCAGCCTTCTACCATGTGGCACACTCCAGATGAGTGGAGTAGCCTGCCTGTTTAAATGTTCCCTTATTTAAAAAAAAAATAAAAGATCACTAAATCACTTGGTGGGTTTTTTTTTTTATAGCTTGTTAACTCAGTTCTTCAAAACTGAACACTGAGGATTTTTCTACAGACATTTAAGAGAACAGAGTGCAGTGAAACCAAGTGCAATTTTATCAGATAATTTAATAAAAGTTTCCCTGTTTTGCCTACTGACGTGTACTGTAGTTTTCAAGCTGTTAATGCAAGAGTTTGGAGATGAAAGAAAGGGTTTGACTTTGTGCATTGAATTAGTATTTCTTAGGGAATGCTATTTGCATGAGACACTTGACCTTTTTTGCACCTTGACACCTCGACAAACTTGTCCTTATTCTCACTTCATCCAAAAGCATTATTTAAGTGAGATTTTCACTTTTAGTTTTCTCTTTATACCCTAAAGTCATCACCGCAAGCTTTGACATACCTGAAACAAAATCCTCAGTTTCTCATTACAACAAATTGCGCCCTAAGCAGCAGGAGAGCAAATCCTAGGAAATCTTTTGGGATGCATTGAATTTCTCCTGTTGAATCAATCTACTGCTTGGCTGCTCCTGCAGTTCCATTATAGCTATCTATTTTCCTTTCCTCAGCTCTGGAAAAAATATTCATGGTGCTCTCCACAGGGTATCACCTGAGATTTCTAGAAGTCCATATAAATAGGAAATCATTGTTAAAACTTTAAAGCTCAGGAGTATTGGTCGAAAACAATTTTAATTTCAGGTAATGTGTTTATTGTTCATTTTCCATTTCTTTAGCAGCAGGGTTGATTTTCAGTGCTGTGTGACGCCTTGTATCATAATGCATGTTTTCAGTGTGATGGTTGCTGATTTTTCTTCTGAATCATCCACTTCATTAACTGGTGGAGACAGATGGTTAACCTGCATAAAACTGGTTTGTCATACTGAATACCTACCTCTGTATTTGAGGTAGTGACGATGACGTTTTAGGAGGAACATTGTTTAGGCATATATATCAAATATATCAAAGCAAAAAGATGCCTCCTCTTTTTATGCTGAACCATAATTGTCCATTATTTGTTAAAATCTATGACATGTACTTTCACTAGATAGTCTAAGCCAAGTGTATGTACACAGCTTTTCTTGTAAATGTCACAGTTAATTGTCTGTCTGTCCAAGAGCCTTAACAAAAGCTGAGGCATTTGCCTAAGTGAAAGCTGCCCCACATCAGAGTCAGCACTCAGCAGCTTGCTAAAATAAACTTCCTTTCAAAAATCCTCTAACCACAAAATAACAGAATATCAGGAAGAGGTGTTACATGGGTTTGTCATGTCTCAGCACATTCACACTCCAGGCTGACTGCTGCTTATGAAGACTCAGATTAAGAGATACTGACCTTAGCAGACTTCTTCTAGGTTACCTCTGGGGAAGGACCCCCTAAATTGAAAAGAAGTCATTTATGTTCTGGGGATTTGGTTTGGGGGTTCTATTGTTTTTCTTTTCCCTTTATCTCAAGTATCTGGTGCTCACACTGCAAACAGTGGCAGTATGCATCTGTTATAAAACTCTGCTCAATATCCTAAGAGACAAGAGAACTAGAGAGAAAAGTAGTAGCAAAGTAACACCATGGGTCTTTTGGGTTTATGAAGCTGAGCTGATGGGGTGAAGGTGTGCTGCCTCTCTGGGCATCTGTGGCATCAGGTCTGAGGAGATTCTGGTGCAGAGAGGACAAACGCCTCTGTTTCTTTTCTGCACTGCTCATAAGCTCTGGCTGAACTCAAAGCTAGTGTGCAATTCCCCCTAATTCTTGGACGGGCTGTTTTAATTAGCAACCCTTCATCTCCTGTGCTGCAGCATGAGGAGTTACTGGAGGGCTCTAGCATTAAGGAGAGGAAATTCCTCCCTTTCACCCCACAGAGAGAGTTGTGCAGAAGCACTGTTGTCTTTTCCCCCAGGCAGCCTCGCACATCTTTCCCCCTCTAACCTCCCTCTGCCGAGTCAGCACCGACACAGGGCTTGTGCTGATGTGGCTGTTCTGCTTCTGGATGGGAGCGAGCTGTATAGGTGCAAGCATCACACTTTTCTGTTAGATGTGCATCATTTGTCTGCTCTTCTCACTCCTTCTATTCTCCATCCCTTCCAGCAGCATTCTGCAGTATTGCCTTACTTGACCTGTCTTCAGTGACTGACATGTTTCAGGGAACAGGGAAGACAGTCCCCATTAACACAACCTCAGATTATTTTGCAAAGGGTTGGATTTAAGAACAGTGGCTGGGATGTTCTTTTTCAGAATATTTCTCACTCCCCCAGACTACTCGTATAAATAAGGTAGGTCACAACAAGGCTCAGGGTATATTCTGAGAACATAGTTGAGTTTTCACTGTGGGAATGAAATGTCAGCCAGGAATTTTTGATTTAGAATTCTATCAGTAGACATGATGGATGGTAGTTTATAAGTCTGTGAACTTCAATCAAAAGGTAGATTAAAAATTAATGGTTGCTACAATATCTTTTCCATGACTCATGATTTTGTAAAAAATAAAATAAAATTTAAAATGGCAAAAAAGCTGTAGAACCTAACATTCTCAGAAGGGGTTCTCAACCTCTTTCTTTCTTCTTCCAATGCACTCCAATAAAGAGCCTGGTTCTCTTTTTGTATAATTTTCACCCCTTTTTGAAATATGTTTTGCAGAAACATCTTTGCTCTTACAGGTTAGTGTTTTATAATAGACACGTTATATATTCAATGACTGAAGATATATTTTTTGCATCTTTATATGTGATATATGGTTCTTTACTGAGCTGAAAAGACTCCCAAGTACTGGCTAGTTCTGAGACACCTTGCTTGAATTTACATTTCTTCTGAAAGTTGGAGTACCTAGAAAACTAACATACATACCCCCACCCCACCCCCAAAAAATAAAAAAGGCCTGAGCTGCAGTGATGGATAGGACCACTGGGGGATGCTAATGCTTAATGGTTAAGGTCTAGATTCAGCACCAATTGGCACCCTGGTTGTGGGAGGCCCCTTGGGGACTTGTGCATGGCTGGCAAATTTCTGAACCTATAGATAGGAGTAAGTCACTGACCAAAGTTCAGTGTTTTAATCATAAAACATCAGTCGTAAACATGCCTCTTCCTTCTGGGATCACCTGAGAGAGAGGGAGACAAAAATGTAAAGGTGGAGAAAGCAATTTAGAGGAAGAATGAAACAAAGAGCAGAAATAATAAAATTTAGCGCTGCTTTATTTTATGGGGTTTTAGAAAGTGGCATTTGTCCCTAACATTTAGAGCAATATGTGTGGTTGGTGGGGGGGGTTGGAGGGGGGGGGCAGGAATAGATCTTGCCAAAGAAAAAAAGATCTTGCCAAAGAAAATCTAAAGTGCTGGGGTATCTTTTCTTTCCAAGATTTGGGAATTGATAGGTGGTTCATCAATGTTGCCAACATCATATCATCTAGAGATAGTAAAAAGGCCAAGTAAACATCAATGGTTTGCAAAGCACGTTTGCGAAAAGAATAGGTTGTGTCTGTGCGAAGGTGCAAGGCTGGAAGCATCGCAGCTGATCAGAACCTCAAAGAGCTATTGCTAGAAACTGAATGAAGAGCACCACACAGCCTTGGTGTACCTTCAAGGTAAGGAAATCAAGATAGGGAAGTGAGAGCTTGATAGCGATA